GTTTGATTTTAAAGGTTGCATTCACCTAAGCAGATTTCTAAAAATTTAATATTTTGTGGAAACCATGAGTAGAATCTTTCATTATGCTTTCTAACCGAATATACTAGGTGACTTGCTTTTGTTTATTTCTACTGTTAAGTATTATTGTTTTCTACTTTATAGGACATCATTACTGTTTAGTTGTCACTTGTATCAAAGGAAATGCAAACCTCCCAGGCAATGTAAAAGAGCTTCATCCTGTTCAGGAAATATTGTTCTGTGACCTTCCAGAAAGACTTCTTTCTTCTCTAGCCTAAAAGAGGGGAACTGAAGTGAGGTGTGAAAGGAAGAGAAAATTAAAGTGCACACATCCATGTTTGGAAAATGACTTCATCCCGTATAAGACCTCCTAGGAATATGACCTTCCAAACAAGCTCAGCGAGGAGCCTTCCTGGGGCCTTGGAATATTTCTTATTGCCTAGGACTCCCAAAGTGGAATTTAGGGTTCAAGATGTTAAAGGAAGTTGGTTTGGATCTCTAACAATATTGAAACATTTGTGTGTGGCTGAATAGAAGCATAGTCCCCTCCCCTCCTTAGTTGCCGTATCTGGTTTATCTGACTGGGAAGCAGTATCCTCTGGCAACTACTAGAAGAAATGTCAGTAACGGAAATTAATTCTGCAGTTATAGGCAAGAGGATTGAGTTAATGAGCTAGTGGAACATTTTTCGTCTGGACATGGCATCAGGGCCTTTTACCAGCATTTCCCTAATCCACCTCCATCCTGTGAGATGTCCTTCTGCCAATGACAATAACCAAGGTCACTTGTGGCAGGGACAGGACTGCCATCCTGTTAAAGCCTCCCAGTCTTGAGGTCTGGACATCCTTCGTGAACAGACTCACACAATCTTCTATGTAGCATATCACACCTTTCCTGGACTGTTATTCCAGAATTAGTATCAAACAATGAAAAGAGTTAGTAGAATTTGTAGTTAGACCCAAGTTCAAATCCAAACATGTTGCTTACAAGCTCATCACGGGACTATTTCTTAAATTCTCTATGCCTCTTTTTTCCCCATCTGTAAAATGAAACCAAAAGCACCACCTCCCCTAATTACTTACTCATTCAGGAAATATTTAATGCATGCCTCCTATGTGCCGGGCACTGACGTGGGCACGGCAGAGGATACAACATACTCATGGAGCTTATATTCTAGGGGGAGAGAGAATAAATTCATATTAAAAATAATAAATACCACATGAGAAAATAAAGCAGAAAATGTGAGAGAGTAAGGGTGATTGTTCTTTCAGAAGGGTTGACCAGAGGAGACTTCTCTCATGAGATGACTGAGCACAGAACTGAATGAAGGGTGGAAATTAACCATGAGAATATTGGAAGAGAATTTCAGGCAGAGGGAAACACACATGTGCAGAGGCTTTGTGGTGGGAGCATGCTTTCTGAAAAACAGAGGAAAACCAGTATGATTGGCGCAGAGGATGTGATGGAGAGCATGCTGCTGGTAGGTGAAGTTAGAGAGGTAGGAGGGAACCAGGTTGTACAGGGCAGTGATTTGCAAACTACAGCCAACAGGCCAAATCCAGACTATGGCCTGTTTAGGTACAACCCTTTAGGTAAAGGAGGTTTTTAAATTTTTAGAAAAATGTTTTTTAAAAGTTTTTTAAAGGGCAAATTCTTTAAAAAATAAAATAAGGCTAGGCATGGTGGCTCACTCCTGTAATCCCAGCACTTTGGGAGGTCGAGGAGGGTGGATCACCTGAGGTCAGGAGTTCGAGACAGCCTGGCCAACATAGGAAAACCCCATCTCTAACAAAATACAAAAATTAGCTGGGTGTGGTGGTGCACACCTGTAATCTCAGCTACTCAGGAGGGAGGCTGAGGCAGGAGAATTGCTTGAACCTGGGAAGCAGAGGTTGCAGTGAGCCGAGATTGCACCACTGCACACCAGCCTGGGCAACAGAATGACACAACTCTGTCTCAAAAAAAAAAAAAAAAAAAAAGGACAGTATCATATTTGGCCCACAAAGCCTAAAATATTTGCTATCTGCCCTTTTACAAAAAAAAATTGCCTGATGCACGGCCTTAGAGACCACGGTGAGGACTTTGTACTTGTATTTTAAGTATGGTAGGAAGCCCCTGGGGGTTTTTGAGCAAGAAAGTAACGTGACGTAGTTAACAGTTTTTAAAGGATGTCTCTGGCTGCCATGTTAGCTCAGTCTGAAAGGAGGAAGGGCAGAGCAGGGAGCACAGTTGGAAGGTCAGTCATTAGCACAACCCTGATGAGACCTGGTGGCAATAGAATGGACTAGACTGGCAGGCACAAGGTGCTGAGTAGTGGGATAGAGTATATTTTGGAGGTGTCACCAAAAGATGTTTTGAACTAACTGGGGGATATGAGAAGAAGAAAGGAGGTAAGGATGACACCAAGATTTCTGGTCTACTCACCTCTCGTAATACTGTCATGGAAACGGAATGAGACAATGATTTTTTTTTTCTACCTCTGTGGCTTGATCCTTCTATTTCTTCCACCATTTTGCAGTCAGGGTTTCCTTTCTGCGGTACAACTTTGATTGTGACATTGTCCTTTCAAAAATCTACTCCGGTATCCTGTTAGCTGTGGAACAAAGTTCATCCATTGAGCCAGTCAGTCTGAGCCCTCCGTAATCTGGCCACCCCTCACCTACATCCTGTGTCACGTCCTGTCACTCCTGTTCATCCATCCCACCACAAACCAGCAAGTGGTCTGCGAGTCCCCATATGTGCTTTATTCTTTCCGCGTCTGGGCCTTTGCCCACATGTGCTCCTTTCTCTTACTATGGAGGTGTGTCAACAGTCCTACTAGAATCTTGTGGTCTACTTTTACAATAAGGTCGTTACATGATACCTCTTTATCCTCCTAGTCTATTTCAATATTCTTTGCCTTCACCTATTTTAATAGTTATTTCCATTTGTAGCATGATTTTTATACACAAATCTTATCCCCCATCATCAAACTTCAGAAAAGGAGACGATATAGCACATAGTTAAGTGCCCTCACCTTTGTTAAATCCTGACTGTGAACTTGGAACCTGTATGACTTTGAGCAAGTTACTCAATCTCTGTAAGCCTCAGTAGTGTGTGCCCAATGGTAGTAATCACCATGATGATCATTATCAAAAGCTCTGTAGGAAAACCACTTCTGCCGTTCTAGCACTTGAGGCTTGCTTGTTCCCTGAAAGCAATGGTTCTCAAAACATGACCCCCTCGCCCCACCCAGCTTTTGGGGATCAGTGACTCTTAATTCTTCTTATGATTACAGAGTTGGTAGGGACAAAGACGAGTTGGAGGAAGGTAGGAAGTATAAGCTGGTCGGTGGATCTGTTGGAGATGTGGGACTGTTTGGGGAGGACACACCCATAGTGTAAGCCACCAGGAGCTGTCAATTAACTTGTAATAATACAAGTGGATAAGATCAATTTTTGTTAGATTGACAAGATGTGAAAATTATTTGGTATGTCTAATTTTAACATAAGCTGTTGACACATTTGTAAATAGAGAAACTAAAGTTAGTGCAAATGATTTCAAGAAATTTTAAAATGTTGTGAAGAGCATTATAATTCCACGCAGTATTAAAACCTGGAGAACACTTAAGTAATCTCTGTAGCTGTGGGAAAAAGCGCAGCCGCATTTATATTTAGTTACCGGCTTTTTTGGAACATGATACCACGTTTATCTTTTTTCTCTTCTTTAGGTTCATTATGTGACATGAAAAACCATCTCTTTGACAGAGTGATTCTGTTAATCCAAATAGAGTTGAAATAAAATTACTCCGGGCCTTGTCCTCCACACTACCTGATTCCCCTTCCTCCATGTTGCTCACTGGTGTGGTTGCAGGTGGACCTGGGAGAGGGGCAGAGCCTCAAACCAGTCCTTGGGCTGCCAGTCTGTAGCTCTGAATAAAATGGACTGCATAAGAGATGTCCTTGAAGAAAAATGCTAGAATTATCTTCATAATTAATTTTTATCTCAAGCTTTGGATTCTCTTTCTGTGCCTGTTTGGGGAGGGGAGGGCCTATGCTCAAATATTTTCTCCTAGAAGGGGCGTGTGATCAAAAACTTTATTGTTGGTTAGCGTGATGATACTTAGGTGAGAAGTTGGAAATGTTGATGCCAAAAAATCCTAGAATTTTCTGTAGATTTCCATTTTCCATGCAACCTACTCACCTCTAACTATAATAAATTACAGTTTTGTCTCCTATCATGTACTGTTCAGTTCAGCATGGTGACGTGTGAATCAGATTCAGGGAAAGAATAAGAAACAGACACCATTGGCTTTATGTCGGGCCATCTCTCCCTCTCATGCCTCCCTCTCCCACTGTTTGGGCAGCCACTGAGCAAATAGCCAAAGTGGAGCTGCCTGGTGAGGCAGAGAAGATACCTAGATGGTCTCTCAACTGAAGCATCTATTTCTGCATAACTGATTACCCTTTTAAAGTCCTGGATTTCAGAGCCATCTCGCGTTGGTGAGATCTGTGTAAGAAGGACCCATTTAAGGGAGTGGGCAGAAGGCCTAAGTGCCTTGAAGGGAAAAGACTGCATGGCACAGAATGTGACCATGTGCCTGCCTGCCACGCTGCCTTTGTGTTGTTAGGCTATGGCTACATCACATTTGTTTCTCTCTCTCACTCTGAACGCTTCTGAGAAGTTACAAAGGAAGGTAAGCAGTACCTGTGTCATTTACATGCTTCTCTGGTAGAACAGCTCTGGGTTTCTGCTGATCCTGGGCAGAGGCCATTTCTGGGAATAGATTTGTCCCCACACACCCTCTCCCAAGGATGTTGCATGGCTGTGGTCACACGTCTCTTTCTGCCCATAGACCGGCCACTTGCTTCTGGAATGAATTCCTTAGGAGCTTTGCAATGGGTCTTTTCCTGGTAGTCTGTCTCCCAGAATTGTTGTGCTGCTTGGCTTCCAGAGAAGCCACAACTGCCCTGTGCTGACCTGATTCTTCCTCATTCCCACAGGCAGCACAAGGAGGTGGCCACAGGACCCTGTTATATGGCCATGCAATTCTCCTGAGGCACTCTTTCAGCGGAATGGTAAGCAGCTCGGGTGTCCACTCTCATCATTCAAAGAGGAGGGAAAACTGAAGAGGGGAGAAGTACAAGAAGCCAGCAATAACAACCTAACAGCAGGAACAATTGGAACATAACTAATTTTAGCACATTATCCTCTTGACATTTCCTTCATATGACCTACCTCAATTTGCAATAATTGCAATTATGTTTTTTGTTTCATCAGTGTCAGATACCCCACCTCCAACTCCATGAGGAAGAGGGCCATGTATCTTTTTTATTTTGCTAAACCTATAACCCCACCAAATACAGTGTTTTGATATACTAGATGCTCAATAAATATTTGTTGAATTGACGAATGATCAAATGGCTTATGGAGTAACAGATCTCTTTAGTATACAAGGATAACCAGTATAGAAGAAAAACCAATAAAATGGAAATTTTGTGACAGTTCTCCTCCTTTACCTATCTAAGAGAAATAGAATGATACTCATTGTTTTTTCAGTCCTGGGAGAACTTGCAGGTGTTATGCTAATTCAGAGACAGGAGGAAGACAAGAGGCAAGGTAGTCACAGAAAGCTTGCATGGCTATGACTAATCAGAAATCTAGAGCCAGAACTGACAGAAGGATGGTGCCTCAATGTAACTTGAAAAAATTGCTACATTTTAAATGAATATGTTATTTATAATTTACAAAATTATAATTTTACAATATTTTAAAATACAGATATTGTAGTTTTTGCAGGAAGTATTAAGGAGAATATTATTACTCAATCAAGTATAATGTATGCCACACCAATAGTGTATCATCCTCACTGTCTTTCAGTATAAGGAAGCCTTGTTATTTTCCTTTAGCCCTAGTGGAAAACTGATACATTAATTCAAGAGTATTTCCACACATTTACACCAGCAGCATGACGCAAAGTTCGTCTCAAGGCTTGAACTATCAAACTGACAACAGGAGCAACAGCTGCCTCTTAAATAATTCATTTGCTGCAGCATTTTTTTTTTTTTTTTTTACTGAGCACTGGTAAGAAGCTGACCTTTTCAGCCTGAACATTCGTCTGCCGTAGTCCTTCATGGCAAAAGACGAAAAACAAAAATGGCCAAACGGAAGTGTGTCCAAGTAGGAGATGGAGATGTTATTGAGAGTAGGGAAACTTTTGAACCCTGATAATATCTGGAATTGACAGGTGATACTATCTTTCAGAATCTGATATTTATCTATAGGGTAAATGAAACTCCAACATTTTTCTTTATTTAAGTGTAATAAACAGAACTTCAAAAGCATACTTCTATGGCTTCACAAACAGGCTAATATCCTGGTATGACACAAAGACTTGCATTATTTATCATTAAGTTTACCTCTCCTAAAAAAAAGTTCTACTCACAGTGAACATATACTCTCTACTGGCGAGCTCCTTTGAAGCACAGCTCTGGGAATAAAGCCTGTAGGATACGACTTTGTACATTGCAATGATTTTCCATCTTCCTCTTGCAGAGAACTAGAACTGTGGTTCAGAAAGCACATCCCAAGAGCTTACCTGCCTCTCAGTCTAATTCTAAGATGAGCTGCTGTGCCCATCAGTGAAAGAGGCCATGGGATTCTTTATTAAGTTAGTTTAACGATCATTTTTAAGTTTTACCTGCCCATGTATCTTTATAATAAGAAAAAAAAACATTATTTTGAGAAGCTTTAAAGCTCCTAGAAAATTTGAAAAACCAAAAATAGAAGTGGGAGAGTCATTCATGGCCCCCGACACTATCCAAAATCAACTTCTGTTTCATTTTTGTGTAATTCCTTTTAGTCTGGTTGCTACACATTTAGATTTTTTGAGTACATGTTAACTCATAAATGTACTATTTTATATATTACTTTTTAGCTCAATGTACTGTAAACAATGTTGCAGGCTATTAAACACTCTTGATAAATACTCTTAATAACGTAATATTATATAAAATAGAAGTATCAAAGGTTATCTAGCTTATTATTGTTGGTCATTTATGTTCCATTTGTATTGTTCCTAATTTAAAAGTTTCTCAACATCTTTAATATTTCTAACTCATTTCTGTAACATACAGTTCTATACATTAAACCACTGAGTCATCAGATAAGAGCATCTTTGAGGTTTTATGTGTATCGTAAAAGTATTTTCAGCTGGGCGTAAGGTGGTTCACACGTGTAATCTCAACACTTTCGGAGGCCAAGACAGGAGGATCACTTGAAACCAGGAGTTCAAGACCAGCCTGGGAAACATAGCTAGACCACATCTCCACAAAATTTATTTTAATTAGCTGGGCATGGTGGCACACACCTGTAGTCCTGGCTACTTGGGAGGCTGAAGTAGGAAGATTGCTTGAGCCCAGGAGTTCGAGGCTGCGGTGAGCTAGGATTGTGCCACTGCACTCCAGCCTGGGCAACAGAATGAGACCCTGACTCTAAAAGTAATAAGAAGAATAATTAAAAATGAAAGTATTGTATTAAGCGTGTACCAATTAACTTTCCAATGAGCAAGATAAATAGAGCTGTCTTCACAGTAGCTCATTGCTGGACTTAACTGGAAGCTAACTAGTGGTAAGATACCAAGACCCAATGGAAGAGTGTGACTTCACTAGTATTCGCTCTTCTTTCACAGTATCTAACATGCTTGACTACATCAAGATCCCAGACAGACAAACTTGCCTTTGATGTAGGTCTACGGGAACATGCCACAGGTGAGTCAACATTCCCAGGTTTATTGAGTTCAGTGGGGTTCTTGGGCTAAGGGCTTTTGAGAGGGAACCTGCATGTGTTCCTCATTTGGGATTCCAAACCAACCTGGTTAAGAAATAGGTCTAACAAAATGGCAGAATAATGGACTAGAGAAAGGATGTGTAATGGAAACACAGAAACTAGGAATGAAGGAGAACGTAATATTTTTACCACAGTCAGCCAGAATCTCAAAGAAAAACAATTCTTTAACACTGTTAGATACTGAAAGTAAGTGAACAAGTCATTCTTGATAAGAACCAATGATACTAAATGACTGCCAAAAAATAAAGGTAGCATAATAAAGGCTTAAATAATGAAATATAGTGTCCAGATCAAAGGAGTAGTCCTATTTTGTTCTGCAGTGAACAGGCTATGTCTAAAGTAGTGTTTTCCAAATGTTAGTTGTTGGCATCTATAATTATGATTTTGCCATTCCACTGTATCCTTTTTAATATCATTTACTTTATGATTTTATTTAAATTTAATTACTTTTGTACTTAAAATTTTTACAGACAAAACTTATTGCCATAAGTATAAACTGGTTTTGCTTGCCATAAAAGTAAAATAATGAAAAGAAAACCATGTCATTAAGTAATTGAAGAGATGTTGACAAATATAATAACGTGTTAATGATACACTAGTTCTAAATGTAAAACTTCATTTGAAAGCATCAGAAGGCTTAAAAGGGTAGTAAAAATGAAAACAAATTTCTCACTATATTTGTCAATGTCATTTAATTGCCTCCCACCAATGATACACATCATATACTTTGGGAACCACTGGATTATTTTTTTTTAGTATAGTCAAAAATACTGACAGTCAAGAGGTGAGTACTGAAGATGCTGACCAGGATGACACAGGTTCTTACTGGAAACCAGAAATAAAGAACAGAGGACTAAGATAACAATCTACAGATATTCAAAGTTATAGTATCAAACAAGATGCTGACTTGCTGGGGTTCTTCCAAAGGCCAACAGAGCAGTGGGTAGGAGTTGAAAGGAGACACATTTCACGTCAATTGTGAAAACTACTTTGGAACATCTGCAATTAATGAGCGGAAGAACAGCTGGCCTTGGGATATAGGGTGCACCCTGTGGCTAAAAATATTCATTAACAATCTGACCATCTGTCAAGGGCATTACGTATGGAATTTCTGCTCCATTTAGAGGTTGGACTAGGTACCAAACAGGATTCTTTGTTGCAAACGAGAGAAGTTGATTCAGGTTAACTCAATAAGAAGACGAACTTACTAGAAGGATGTTGGGTAGAGCCTGCACTAAATCTGGAGCCTCAGGCTTGAAAATTGGTTAGGAACAGAGACCAAGGAAGAGAAAACAGGTTAGAACACACTACAGGAAAAGTCTAATTTGAATACAGTCTATAATACGACGTTCTCCCTTAAATAGGAAGAGGGCTCCAATGTTGAGTAGCCAAAGAAAGACAAAAGTCTATGTTATTATTCTAAAGCTAGGTCAGTTCATAATGGAAGGATCCAGGTTGTCTACTTTTATAGAACTAGAAAAAAAAATCCAGCATCCAAACCTTGTGTACCTGCTGTTTCCGTGTCTTGCACAATGGTGTCCTAAGAGTGCCTGAGGGAACCTCTTTCTCTTTTCCTCCTCTTCCTGTTTTTGTACTAAGCAAAAAAGTGACCCTGCCTTTGCCCATTATGGTTTTTTTTTTTCCTAAAATAAGATTAGATTTGAATTTGATTTAAAGTTTCTTTGTTTTCAGCCAAAGTGTTAGTCTTAAAATATAATTTCCTCTAAGGTGTTGTCAACCTTGCTGAAAATTACAAAGTGAGTGAAGTGCCACACTCTGAATATACACTTCTTTCTAAATATAGATCAACTGTCAATCCTGAAGAATATAATCAGAAAAGTCAAATATGGTCACTGTATTTAATCAGTAAAATAACTTTATACTATTTGAGATTGGAAAGAAATTGAGAAACACCACTTTCTAGTCAAGTGTTCAGACAATTATTTTAACTGTTAGAGCCTTTAATAAAAATAAAGGGAAACCACAGCAGACAATATTACTCTTTTCAGCAGTTTTTAAAAATTTCTAAAATCAGACTAGGTAAGAATTCTGTTGACAGACGGGGCAAACACATAGAACTAACCCAAGTTCAGGCTAGCTGATGAGAAGCTACCTGTGGCAGAAAACGGAGAAAAGGCTTCAAGTTGGCTGATGAGAAGCTGCCTGTGGCAGAAGACAGGGAGAATAGGCTTGACTAGGTCTTCATGAAAACCTAGAGCCTAAAATAACTTACATTTGTTTTGCCTCTCTCACCCAAATTCATATGCTATTCTCCTTGAAGAAAGGTAGCTGGGGTTTGTGAGGGTCAAGAAGGATGCACCTCCAACTCAGATGAGGTTCACCATTACCTGGAGATTCTCCTCACTGCAGGAGGAGGTTCATACGGAATCCCACAGAACGGTACCCTGTTCCTGTCTGGCTAGTTCTTTGAATGCACTTCTGGCTCAGAAACCCCTTCAGAGTTGTAAACAAGGAAACTGCCCAGTAGTGGAATTGAAACTATAGGAGAATATGAGGAGAAAGTTTGGGGGCAGTTTCTTGAACAATTCTGGCATTTTCCCCCAACACATTGAATTGTACATTCTCACACTTAACACAGAATTGATGATCATTTTATCCTTGATTTTGGGTAAAATTACTTAAATGTATTCTGGTCTCCTTTTAAAGTTGTTTAATTGCTTTGTTTTTAGGATTTAGGCATAGCTTTAGAATTTAGACTTGGGAGGAAATACATGTTTAACACATACCCACACTAAAAGTGTTGTTTTGTATTTTAGGGCCGTGGACTGGCCCATCCCGTTGCTTCAGGGCCAGCTCCATCCCTGGTTCCAGAGCGTGGGAGAGAGCAGGGAAACAAAATACTCTTTCTGTGTGTTCCTCTTCAGGACCCCCTTCATCCTGGATACCCTTTGGTGGTCCTCAGAGAACATTAAGGATGCATACAGCATTTTCCCCTTCAAATGTAGAGCTCAAACTCTTTGTCATGTCATGTTTAGTTTAATTGAAGGTAATACTCACACATAGATTAAAGAGAGAAATAGTGCTCCTGAGCTTATTGTAAACACCACTCTCCTGCCCTCCCTCCTCTGGATGCCTGCCTCTCTGGGGCATCTACTTTCAGCTCTTTTAGTATTGTTTACCACTTGTTTGTAATATACATATTAATACAATGCTTTTTAAAATTATTTCTAGATTATGCATTAACTATTGCCGTCCTGATACTAATTTTGCTTTTATTTCACTCTTTCCTGTCTTTTCTTCCACTCTTCCGTGTCTTGTCTTCCCATCCTTCCAATAGATTTTCATCTATTTTATTTAATTGTCAAATCAATATTAACTACTTCCACTGCTATAACTGTAACTTTTATTTGCAAATGAGCCACATAATATATTCTGACCAGGTAATTTATTGTATTACTTTGGGGTTTTCCAATAGTTAATAACTGCCTCATTTGTTGGCTGAATTTTTTGCGACCCAATCATTTATTCATTTTCAAACTTTCGTATAGAACTGAAAATCTCTGGCTAGATTCGATCACATGATCTGTTCTCTGTTTCGTCGTCTTAGAAACATCAGCCATCTAGGGAATTTCTGTTGCCTTGCCCTAGATTCCATGTTTATTAGATCTTACAGGATTGGTTGGTGTTTGTTCGTTTGTTTGCTTGCTTGCCTTCTTGGTTTACCACCTCACTTTGGTGGAGCACATTATCTAGTCACTTTTACAGAAAAGATGCATGTGGATTAAATTTTTGTCTGAAAATTTCCTAATTACAGCTTCACAAGTCATGCACACTTTACTGTGATTCTATATTGGAAATATTTTTTTCCTCAGCTTCCTGAAGGCTTTCTACTAGCCAATGGTCTGACTGTTGAGAAGTCTACATTCTGATTTCTTATCCTTTGTGTGTGACTTGTTTTTATTTTCTGAAAGCAGCTGAGAGCGTCTCTTTCGCCCAGGTGTCTGAAATTCCACAGCGATGTGTCTTGGCGTGGCCTCTTTCTGTTCTGACATCTCACAGGAATGCACCTTTGAGTGGTTTCTAATCTCTACTGTGTTAGGGACTCTGTAGGTTCTTTCAATCTGGAAAAACTCATTTTTCAGCTTTGAAAAAACTTTAATACTATTTCTTTGTTAATTTCCTCTCTCTGTCTTTTTCAGTTCTTGTTCTCTGGAATTCCTCTAGGTTGGTTTTTTGATACTTCTAATCTGTTTTTTGTCTTTCTTCCTTCTGGAATAATTTTTCAGCTTTATCTTACAACCTTCTTCTTTTTTTTTTTTTCTGGGATGAATGAATATTTTTCTTATCCTTGGAAGGGATCCTTCATAGATACTAATATAACTGTTTCATGAATGTTAACTGATCTCTGAGATTATTAATTATAAGATTTTTTAAGTTTTTTTTTGTTCTCTGTTATCTTCATTTTCTCCAAGTCCCTTTCTTCTCTTTTCGCTTCATTTTTGTAGTTCCTGTTAGAGACCTTCCTCAGTTGTCAGGTGGTCCTTGGTCTTCATTCGTGTTCTGATCCAGGCAGTAAAAGCTGGCTGGAAGCTGACTGGGGCTTGTCATCTGTTAAGCCTCACTTTTAGGTCATCTGGCAGAGACCTGAGCATTTCACTGGTGACCTCAAACCACAGTATGTTTTATCTCAGCTAGTTTGGCTTCCCTAAAGAGTGATCCTCATATTTGGGTGGAGGGTGGGAGGGAAAGGAGCTGGGGTTTTACTAATCGGGGTATAAAGTTTGAATTCTGTTTTCAGCAAGATTCTACTTCTTTGTTTGACAATGTCTGGTATTTCCAAAACCAGACCCTTGGTAGTTTGCTTTTCCATGAATTAAACTTCTAATCTTCTATAGTGTGGAGGAGGACAGGTCTTCTGGCTGTGCAGGGCAGGGAAAGGAATCAAGGATTTGAATGTCCTTTTAAAGCTTTCCACCAGTCCTGTTTTCAGCCCATTTTCTGCCTTCGTTGGTAGCTGCTACTCCCAATTCCAGGGACGTTCTTGAGATTCTGCAGCAGGAATTGGCTTTTCATTGATGGTTGTTTCTTCTCCATTTTCTTACTCAGAGACCTGGGTTTTAATTTTTTATTGGCTAAAAGCATCCACCTGCTTTCCTTTTTCCAAAATATCAGTATATCCTCTTTGCTATCAATTGCTCATTTATTGTCTGAGTCCTTGCAGATGTAAGCCTTTTTTAAAAATTCCCTTAGGAAAGGGGGAGACAAAGATGAAAGTGTATAAGTGTTCAGTAGACCAATGAAATCGATTCTTTTTATTTATTTATTTGTTTATTTGTTCTTGGTGCTCTTGATTGGAGTCAATTCTTAAAACAGAAATTTGAAAGACTATAAAAAGCATTTTTCCTATTTGCATTAAAAATACTCGAAGGCCACTACAGTTTCTGGCCTCCAATACTCTTTTCCAAACAGTGCTTTTCTGTCTCTAGGGAAAATGAAAATGACAGACATAGTCAAGAGCAGATGGGGGGCTGTCTGGAACGGTTAGAGACCAATAGAAGTTGAGGTCTGGAGTATGTACTTGTTGTGTGCATGTGTAGGGTTGTCCTAGGAGGAAGGAGAACAAGGGGCAAAATTAGGGACACTAGCTTCTGTGAAGCAATGACTAACTTGCAGAGCCTTCATGTAGGAGAAGCCTGTTGGTGGACTATACATCCTGCTTCCAAACAGAGGTCCGAAGGAGAGAAAGTTAGAATTGGCGATGACCTCATCCTCGTCAGCGTGTCCTCTGAAAGATACCTTGTAAGTACCTCATAATACAAGAGTCTTTTGTTTTCAGAAATTTTTCCTTTAGGAATAGATGTCCATGAAGAACTGAGCCACAGCAGGTTGGATAGAATAAGATGCTCTTACCCATACAGAGTTGACCCTTAAAGAATGTAGGGGTTAGGGATGCTGACCCCCTGCACAATAAAAAATTAGTGTAGCTTTTGGCTCCTAAAAACTTAACTTTTGATAGGAAATAGCCTACTTTTGATGGGAAATAGCCTAGTTTTGATAGAAAATAGCCTAGTTTTGGTGAGAAACCTTACTAATAATGTAAATAGCCTGCTAAAGCATATTTTATATGACATACATATTGTGTATTGCATTCTTACAATAAAGTAAGAAAATGTTAAGGAAATCATAAGGAAGAGAAAGTATATATACTATCAGGTAGAAGTGGATCATCCTAAAGATCTTCATCCTTGTCATCTTCACATTGAATAGGAGGAAGAGAAGGAAAAGGAGGAGTTGATCTTGCTGTCTCAGGAGGTAGAGGTAGAAGAAAATCCATGTATAAGTGGACCCGTGTAGTTCAAACCCTTGTTGTTCAATAGTTAACTGTACTTGAGGGATGATTAAATACCCTCCCCTGCCACATGATCATGGTGCCTGGAACTAATCTGTTATTCTTTTAGATTATGGTGCTGTGTCCAGCAAACTGTTAAAATGCTTCAAGCACTGTTTGCACATTAACTCCCATTATTCTGAATTTATTACATTGTTTAGCTCTTGTTTAGGGAAGAACAAGAAAGGTTGGAATCCAGGAAAATAAGTTTATGTTGGAGAAAGAAAGAAATGTACAGTGTTTCAGGACATGGGGTATCGCAGAGAGTGGAAGATGCTGGTGAGATTTTGCAGTTGGGGATGGGTAATAGAAAAGCACCATTTGTATCAGCCACTTGGCTGGGGGTGGGGATGCCTGAAGATGAGAGAAATGTCAGAGAAGCTTCTCACGGAGCCATCTGAAGTTAAATCTGTGGGCAGATTTTACTTTGCCTAGGCCAAATGTTGGGTAATTTTTCCCATTTGCGAGTTATCTTTTCCTACAAAGAATGGACATTTTATGAGTTGGTGTTGAATCAGCTCCAGCTGAGGGGATGAAGTCAACACATGTCTGCCATCTCTGTAGCTGAATAATTCCTCACCCCAGAATAAAGTGTCCCACTTTGGAGCTGCTTCTAGATCAGGTGGAGAAATCTCCCACAGGCTGTATAGGAAGAGCCAGATGACAGTAAGGCTGTTTAATTTAATCCTTGAAGTTCTAGGTGAGCTGTTTCTGTCAGTACTGGACTGGTGATTTAAAAGATGTCTCGTTTCTGTTTCTGCTGCAGCATCTCTCAGTATCAAATGGTAACATACAAGTGGATGCCTCCTTTATGCAGACACTCTGGAATGTACATCCTACGTGCTCAGGAAGTAGCATCGAAGAAGGTGTGCTTCTTTATATGCATTTAGCCCTGAGCCTGCCTGTCTCTCTTGTGCTGTATACATTGATGTTTTCTGCTACTTCCCAGATCACACCTGAATGTCTTGGTGCACAGGTAGCCTGATTTTAGCTCACTTGAGTTTCTTTCTCTGAATTCAGTACAGATTATTTTCTATCCTAACTTCCAGTTACATGAGCATCCCTGAACTTATTTTTTTAATCCCTTGGAGCCCACTATTATTTTAGCACTACATGTATTCAGGACTTGGATATGCACCTTTGCTCTCTCTCTGAGTTTCCACATTTTTATTTTTGCTTAGTAGTTGTAAGTATAAAGACCTCAGCACCTTCAGTTTTAGAAGAGATTATTTGCCAAGAAGGTGACATTATTTATATTTCTCCCTATGCGTCTCTCCATGCAGGTGGAGCACTTACTCTATCATAAAAGTGTTTGGTCATTTGTTTTTACTTGTATTTATGGAAGGCCATTTTAACGTAAGAGGTGAAATTATTTTTCCCTTGGAAATAAAGTCGTCCAACGTTGTTCAACATATTTTATTTCACAGAATCAGGCAAAGTCAACACACCTTTCAAGTTGTGTAATAAATATACGGGTCTTACCTCACTGATAGGTAATACCACAGCTGAGAAGAATAATCAAATGTCAGTGACCTACGGGCTTTTGTGTTACATTTTGGCACATTATAGCAAGATCAGAATTTTTAAAAATACTCATCACAGGCTTTAGCCCTATTAAAGTCTAGTACTTTCAAACTGGGAATGTCCTTCTATGCTGTGATGTTTCAAAAAAGAGGGAAAACAGAGTTGTCAAGGTGATACCCCAGTTTTGGAATGCATGATAGTTAAACTGAATACTCAGGAAAACACAAATTCTTAATTCTTTTGGCAACAAGTGGAAGGCTTGAAAAGGTAGGATAGGATGTGTTTAGCCCTCTTCCTTTGTGCCAAAATTAACCCACCCTCCTAAGTCTATTGTCAGTCAATCCCTTTCTACTAAGAATCAAGAAGCTCTGGGTTTAAGTCTTCCCCGAGACAGTTTTGGCTCAATCTTCTCCATGTTAAATGTTTTATTTTCACCGTAGGAATAAAATTATTTCCTGGTCCCAACAGAGGGCTTGTGGAGATTAATTAAGGCATGTTTGCAAATCATGTCAAAAGGTCCTTATAGAAATGTTGAGTGCCCTTGTAATATAGTGGGGATAACTCATCACTTGAGTCATCTGGCTCTGTAGAAAAATGTCCTTCCAGCATCCACTGGTGAGAAACCCACTTCAGCCCTTAAGAACGTAAGTGATCTTCATCATGATGCTGCTTTCCTGACTATGGCCCTGATAGATTTCAATTAAGAAAAGTCGTGATGCACCAGCACTTGGCAGTGTTCTCTGTGTGAGTAGGATATTGATTTGAAGGAGCCCAAGAACTGTAAAGGATAAACTCCAAATAGGGCATGGCCTCTCCATCATGAGATGAACAAGAGCTTAATCAAGAGCTTTGTCATGGAGGGCTTTAATTTTCTAAATAAATTAGCTATTAAGAATCCCCCTATAATATATCATGAATCATTTTTAATGCAAAGAAGGTTATAACTCAGAATATCAATACAAAAAGATACAGGAAAATTGGAAGGAGACTTCTGAATATTTGAGGGAATTTTAAAAAAACTTGCCTTGTCTAGGTGAGAAAACTGAACTCATATAAGACTGTCACTATACAAAATTCACTAATAATACCCTTTTCTCCTCTGGCATGATTGCTCATTCTTACTGTTTTAATCCAGCACCCAAAATAGTTTAAGACAGCCCCTAAAGTGATCTAATTATGTGATATTTTTTACTTTAAAAATTCTGACACAGACATTGGGTATATTAAGTTCATATGTTTCCTGAGAACAGACTAGCCTGGAGAATTTTTTAATTCAGAGGAATAACAAATCCCATTTCTTGGTGCTAGGTAAAGCTCGGACTGGAGCCCCTCTCCTGCTACTATGTTCTTTGAATTAAGGCTCAGCATTTATTTTGAAGACAAATGGATCATCGTGTCCTTGAAGTTCATTGTTTCCTTTCCATGTCTGAAGTCCATGACTATTGAGATTCCTTTCTTATTCTGGAGGCTAAGTATTTGTTGATAAAAGCATCTACACTTGTTCACTCAGGGATGTTAGAGAGTAATTCTGTTTTCCCTTTGTGCTGTAGGAGTAGCAACCAGATTTGATCTGTTTGTTAAATGTATTCGAATGTTGCCTTCTCCTAAAGGGTCTTAAGAATGGTCTGCTACCCCCTTCTCAGCACCTTTCTTTCCCATGATTTGGATCTTTTTGCAAAGTATACACAGTGAGATTGTGGATATTTATCCAGCAATTTGGTATTAGGTATATTTACATCCTAAGTAACTGGAAACTCCTAACATTAGCAACTTAATTTTCCTTTTTGATTTTTAATGATATCAATTGGCACACTATTTTCACCTTACCTTTTGATGTTGGACTGGCTCACCTCTGAAGCCCTGTTTCACTTTCAACATTAGAATTGTTTTGACTTTCCTGTCTTTTCTGCCTGAGGCCTGCATTCATGGAATATGTAGTTATCAAAATGTGTCTCTCTCGGTATTTTCTGTAACTGGTCCAGACCTGTGTGAATTTACCCTTTTTAAATATGCCATTCTCTAATGAAGAGTTTAATGAAAACTTGCCATCATTCACAGTAGAATATAATTCTCTTCCAGGATACCTACTTGGTGGGCATGTAGTGCGTCTTTTCCATGGTCATGATGAGTGTCTGACGATACCATCTACAGACCAGAATGATTCCCAGCACAGGTAAGTCAATAGCTTCATTCTTCCCCTAGCTGTTTCCAGTCTCAAGTGACTCAAACCAAAGAGTTTACATTTGTATTTAGCCACACAGGAACTCTGTACATGTCGGTCAATTGACAAACCTTCCTCCGGCCATGGGTTCCAGTTTGTAAAGCAGGAATGGCGGTTCCGCTTGCTCACGGGAGGAGCTCTGTACACATGCTGTACTTAGGCGGTTCTGTAATGCTTCCAGATCCCTTCATTTTCTCTGGCTCTGCACTTAAACAAATTATTCACCAGGCTCTTCAAAGACAGATCATCTCTATTCCCATTTCATGTGCTAAGTAAATAAGGTAGACTTCATTGATTTGGTTTTATCACTAAATAGCATTAGAGAAACTGATGTCCAGCTGGAGCTGGATTTAGCAGGGGGTGGTGCCAAGGGTGCATTTAGAGGGCGCTGTGCTGAGGACAATGTGTTCTTGTCCTCATACTTGACCCCATCATGAATGCTTTTCAGAATTTCAAAACCATGAGATGGAGGATATGAATCCAAGTCTTAAACGCATACTAAAGAGTTTTTTTTTTGGTATTCTATCATCAAAGGAACAGAACATAAAAAGCTTGGCCTTGTAACTATAGAAATCTGATATTTTAAAAAAATCAAACCTCAGATCCAAACTAGATTGAATTTGGGACAGCAGTGAGTCTGATCCGGTGACAATGTTTTCTTTTCTTTTGTGTAATGCCTACAGGATCCTTGTCAACTGCATTTTTTGCTTCATTAGAAACACAGGCTCACAAGTCTTCACATCTTGGAGACTATGTAGGTCAGGTTCCTGCCACAGATCACACACTGGCTGATTTCAGATGCAAGTGTAGAAGCCAGAGCTGCTGACTCTCCATCAGGGACCATTTCGTGTATTTGATGTATTCAAGGACCACCCCCCCAAAGCAGTGTGCTTGAACTTATTAGTATGCACCTTAGAAAGCACCCATTGGCAATGTGTATCCCTTGTAGTTCTTAGTCTCTTCCTACTTGCTATCTACTCTGAGTACCCCTTCATAGGAACCGGATGTGACCCAGAAGGGTGCCTAGGACACATAAAGCACAGACCTATGTAAAGCGCCTTGCTAAATTCACTTGCTGCCTCCCTGGCACTGGGCCAGCAGTTGACAGTTACCTCTGATAGGGAAGTTAGGTCTACCTGATTTTCCTTAGAAGTAAGGATTCTCTACCCTGTCATGTGATCCCGTTCACTTGTGGTTTGCCTTTTATTCAATATTGAAACTATACAATAGCCCATTTACTGTCTCTTTGATATCATATTCTGCTGCCTCAAGGGGAAGGTTTGCAGGTGGATGAATAACTGAGATTTTTGTGAGGTTTGCAGGGTTGTCTGTATCTAAGATGGAATACATCAGAACTTTCCTAGTTCATTCTCTCTATTCCTGTTCTACTTTTAAGGATGGAAATTTGGAAAAAGATGAAGTATTTACCGTGTGCATACCCCCACCCACATGCACATACCTGTCATCAAAATTAGAGCCAAATTAGAAACAGCTGGACAGAAATTATGCTACTTAGTCATTTGGTGGGCATTTCAGTCAAGTGATTCAGCAAAATTCTGCTTGGAAGGAAAGGCTCAGCAAGTGTTTGAAAGGATGTGATGGGGAGAGTGAAGTAGCCGGAGAGGAGTTTTCACAATGAACACAACGGAGCAGACATGCATGCCATCGTTCAAATAAACATGAAGGTGGCCTTTCTTTAGCCCAGGATTTCATTGGCTCTAATTTGTGTTTTGGAAAAAAAATTCATCCATAAAAATAAGAAGTCTTATTTTATAAGGAAGCATGAAGGGTTTAAGACTGGTGAAAGTGAGCAGCTGTTCAGCACAGTGGAACTTGAATCTTTATATCAACTAGTCTCAATCAAAACAGGATGCCTTGGTGTTATTTGATGTCTAGGTGAAGCAAGTGATAAGCCTTATCTTAGTCTTCTATTGTCAGGTAAATCCTCAGAACTGGCCAACATGGCCAGGAACATCAAAATCGGGGGAGCGTGATAGAATAGGAAACAGCACACTAAAAGACTCTAACAGCTACAGAGGCATGCAAGTGTTCCATTGCAATGGTGCTGACTCTCCAGAAGAAATCGTTTTCCGTCCCTATAAATCCTGAGAGCAGCCAAGCTATGTGGAAAGACTCTGACCCAGAGTGGAAACCCAAGACTCCCAATCTACCATCTTGAGCTCTGATCCTTGGCTTTGCCTCTGGCTTGTCAAACACCCTGGGATAAGTTACTTAACCTATTGAAGCTAAGGCTAAGCTGTCAGCCAAGCTTTCAAAAGCACCTCAGCTTGCCGCCCACTCTACTCCTCTCCTTGGAATTGTTTTAGAGAACAAGAACAAGTTGTTTCAACCTCAGTAACCTTGTGAGATTAAATGGAGCAGGCCACCCAAATGTCACAGGTGGGAAGAACAAACCTTCACAAATCCTTCAGATGTCAGGGGTAGAGAATCTTCTAGTTCCAGCTCCAGCGCTGTTTCACCTGTGACCTGGGTGAGCCACTTCACCCTCTTCTGAAGGGATCTTTGCCGCTTGCAGTAGAGGAGGAGAAGCATCAGTGAGAATCTTAGCAAATGTTCCTAAGTGGCTAGGAGGTTGGTGCAGTATCATTTCTGTTCTAGGCCTCGTACAGACACACCTGGGGTGTAGGAACTCGAAAGCAGTATCGGATTTTCTTTCCTAATATTTACTGGGCATTTCCCGATAACATGTACATTAGAGAAAGATTGAGAAATAGCCTTTATATTCCCACCTTCCAGAGGTAACCACTGTTGATGTAATGTTTCATTGATTGCTGTCCGATTAATGTGTCCCTCTATGCATGTTTATAAACATTTATAAAAAACACTTTCTAAACATTTTTTAAAAGCCCTTTACATTTTCACAACCTTGTTATATAAGTACCCTGATTAGATAAGCAAACGGAGACACAGAGAGTTGAAGGGGCTTGCCCGAGGTCACACAGCTACCAGATTCAAACCCAGGTCTAACTTCCAGGCTCATTTTGAATCGACTCATAATTATGATACTTTTCCAGGAAAAGAAATAAGTATACATTTTCTTTTTACCACTATTGATTAACTCTTGTCTCTAAAATCTAAATCCGGATTCCTCTGGGGTTTGATCAATTCAATTGTGATACATACAAATTCTCTCCGGTGGAGGTAGGATTTTAAGTTAGTGAATGTAAATGCAGTTAAATAATCAGTTTTGATTAAAGGTCACAAGATTCTCAAAAAGTGGCTGGATTCAGTATACCAGGTAATCTGGGGACCGCTGTTCTTGAGACATGCTCTTAAACTGTGAATTTTGTACAATGTGGACCAGCCTGCCCCAATCACAGGTTATACAGAATTTATTTAAAATAAAACTTTAAAAACTGAGGCTTTGTTAATCACTGGATAAAACATCAGGCAAACCCAAGTTGAGACACATTTCACAAAATGCCCAACCAGTACTCCACAAAACTGTCAAAGCCATGAGAAACAAGGCAAGACTGTTTAGAAAGCATAACAGATCAGAAGAAACGGGAGACATGGCAGCTAAACGCAGTGTGGTATCCTGGATTATATCCTGGAACTGGAAAAAAAGTTTGCGGGAAAAATTAAGGTGAAATCCAAATAAAGTCTTGAGTTTAGCTAGTAATGACATACTCATGTCGGTTTCTCAGTTTTGACAAACGTACCTTGGTAATGTAAGATGATAACATTGGGAGAAGCTGAGTGAGATCATGCAGGAACTCTCTGGACTATCTTTAGTAACTATTTTATAAACCTAACATTTTTCTAAAATAAAAATTTTATTTCAAAACACATTAAAAGATGATTCGTAACACAGGAAAGGAAGCAAGAGTACAGTAATAAAATCGTGAACACTGTAACAACTGAGGATAAAGTGCCCTAGAACGATGGAAATGAGTTCACACTGTGTCGAATAGGTGTTTTTAAAGTACAAATACATTTTTTAAAGATATAAAACTACATCAAGGAGCTTGACCTGAAGGAACTGGAGCATTCTGTGTCTGCCGTCATGGTGTAACTGGGCTATCGTGACTCCTGATGTAGAAATGGAGATGTTCTTTTTCCTGCCTTTTCCTTGTGTACCTGATGATGCATAAATGTCCATGATATGGATATGGTGAGCAGTTCCCTCCCCTCTAGCTGCTTTGACCCTTTCTGAGAGAGTGACACTGTGAAACCATCCTCCTTATTCTGGCTTTGCTTTCTGCTGACTCCAAAAGGGCTTAGACAAGCTGGGTGCCTGAACAGCCTCTGCAGGGAGCTGTTCTTCACCCGGGTGCTGATCAGTGTCCTGCAAGTAGGAGCTGATCTCCAACTCTGCTCATAGGAGGATATTCTACGAAGCTGGGGGAGCTGGGACTCGAGCCAGGTCCCTGTGGAGAGTGGAACCACTTCGGATAAGGTAATGGAGGGCCTGGGAGTACCCTTTTCAAGATTGCTTTCTTTTTCAATAATAGGCCGTTCTCTTAAATATTTCATTCATCCCGTATCACCTGGCAAACTCCTTCAAGTCCTTTGTCTAGAGCTAAGTTCTGATATTTCTGTGACTTTGTTTTTAAAGAACACACACACACAGTTTCCAAAGCCACTGTGTTGACTCTGAGGCTGGCAGGCTCTTCTGCCCTTGCGGTAGCTGACTATAAAAGGAAAGCTCAGACAAGGCCACTGAAAGCCATCCAAGTCCTCCCATTTATTTTCTTAAACAGGTTCTCTGGAACCCAGATAAGTCTTCTCTCTCCTCTTAGCAGCTTTGTTGGCTCCAGTGGACAGGTAGCTTTAAATGGCACACAGACAGGTAGTCACGATGGCATAAGATAAGGAAGATGTAAACGTCACTGGGAATGTAGGTGTGAAGAAAAAGGTACTTACTAGAACTTTTCAGAGACAGTTTTGTCCCTTGGTGGAAGGAACAGGAGGCTGAGACTTTGCAGCCACAAGCTTTTGAATAACCACGGGTGGTCGCTTAACTTCAAACCACTGAAGGGGGATCACTTTCAGTGCAGGACCTTTATATGGGCTGAGAGGGTCTGCAAGTTAGGCTAGAGCTAAACTGCTTGGAGTGAGAGAGGAGGATTAAGTTTCGCCCTCTGATTTTCCTTCTCTGCCTTTGCCTCTAGTTCTTTCTGTTCAGTCTCTCCCTGAAAATATGTTCAAAATAAGTCTCTGTCATGCAGGGTATATGCCCCAAGGGGCCCTGAAGATAATCCATTGGCAATCAGAAGGTAATATTAGGACTTCTCTTACACCATACACACACATGCACACATTTTTTTTTCTGAGAAATTGGCAGCTGATGGTTTAAGGAATACCAGTTTTAAGGAGCATGCACTTATTAACTGACTTGAGTCATTTACATCCTCTTTCCAAACCCATTAAAAATCTGAGAGTAACATACTCTTATTCTCAGGATATTAGCCCTTAGTTATTGCTTAATGGACTTTTTAAGAGGTCAAAATAGGTATGTATATGTACTTCTGGTTGTGATTGCTTGCTCATTTCCCCAGAGAACTAAACATGAAGAATTTAAGCCTTTTATCAATGTGATTTGGATTTATTGATGCTTCAAAAAGTTGGACAACGTGCAGAGTGGTTTTAAAATGTCACACATATATCTCTTAAACCTTATATTCTTAAGAGATAAGTATTTTGCATATGAGCGAATATTTTAAAGAGATAAATTTTGAGTTAGATTATTCAGTGGATAATTTCTCCATAACACTTAATGTAACTTTTGCTGAGTGCTAATCTTTTGATGAAGGACCACTAAGAGGGCAGTATTCAATATGAGTTCTCACTTGTCTTAACCCTTTTATCCTGCTTTACTTATTTTCCACAGAATTTATCTCCTTTTAACATAATTCAGTGTTGACTCATTACGCCTGTTTATTGTCTGTCTGTGGCAAGTCTAAGCTGTGCAGGTATTTTTACTATTTCCCTTGAAGATAGGACTCTTTGTGTAGTAATACGTTTTAGTTCAGATGGCAGGTTTGGAAAGGCTTTTCCAGAAACAAGTTTCCATTCAAAGACAAGCTTCCCATTGATTTGTGATTATTTGCATCAAGACCTTTCAGTGGAGTGAAGGAAAAATTGGAAACCTGGGACTTCCAGTTGAATGAAGCCACTGACCTGCCTTTGAGATCATTCCTTGTTGATGTTATCAAGAGCGAGCACGAGGCTGGGTTGTAGGCAGACATGAAATCCTACAGCAAGCCAGGAACCCGGTGCATTTTTCTCTTAAGGATGGACACCAGAAGGGTTATAAGTCTGCTAGCATGTGTAAGAAAGCGCAGGGTAAATACTGAAAAGGACTTATTTTTGTATAAATGCAATTTCTTGTCTGTTTCATCTGCCCAGTTGGAGTGGCAGTAACATCAGATGGGGCCAGGCTTTTCGACTCCGGCATCTCACCACAGGCCACTACCTGGCCTTGACAGAAGACCAAGGCCTTATACTACAAGACCGGGCAAAGGCAGACACCAAGTCCACAGCTTTCTCTTTCCGGGCATCAAAGGTAAGGTGTGATAAAGTGGACTTTGACCCTGTTCTAAAAGTGAAAACTCAGACACCTCCAGGTAGAGCTATAACTGGGAAAGAAAGTAGGCTGGAACAAAGCAGAGTTGGAAATTTGACCTAAGATAGATAAACACTTTCTTCTTTTATCTTTTGAATTGAGTTCATGGAGGAATGTGTACCTTGGATGAAGGTTGAAGTCTTGAGCAAAAGGAGAGTGTGGACAGTCCTGGAAAACCCAAGGATCATAAGAATGGACATTGTTGCTCAAAGGCTATTGGAAACTATTGTTGTTGTTTAGTGCATTCTGAGTTGTCTTTAATAACTTCCAAGTTATATTCTTCACTCCTTTAAAGCAATAGTAGCATGGAGACATGAGTTTCAGAGCTATATTTGTTTAAATAAAAAGGTAATTTGTTAAAAAGGTTTAAATTTAAAAAGCATGAGTTTCAGTGCTTTATTTGTTTTAATTTTTTAAAATGATGCAGAGAACACATTCTGGACATGACATCATCTTGCAGTTATTAATATTTATATGATAAAATTTACTACTACCTTTCCCATTCTTTCCCTTAGCTATTCCTACTCCCCAGATCTCTCAGCTCTCTCCTATCCATCCCAAACCTTCATTAAGAATGGATCCTCTGGTAGTTAGGTTAACCTTGAATTAATGGCTTTACCATTTGATGTGTATGTGGACAACTATTCTTTTTTAATGTTCAGCCACCTTTAATGTTCAACTAGGCTTCGACTCTCTCTAACTCAGAGCTGGATCTAGTTGAACGGTCAGAATTGCATGCTGAGCTAACTTCTGACAGACAGTTGCATGGTCTGTCACTTTATGAGTGTTCTGGAAAGATCATCCAAGCATGAGAAAGGCTCTGCACAGATGTGGGCACAGTTATCAGGAAGTCTGCACTTCCTAAGAGTATAGCTCAATATCTCCTTTGGGAGCTTCACCTTTAGTTTCATTCTTTGCTCTTTTCCAGAAATAAATCTTGATGTGTGTTCTCACCGTGATTTCACTCAAGGGTTGTTGAGGATTCTGCTTGTGTAGGACTAGGGGTGAGGCTGACAGCTGAATTTTCTATGGGGGCATCTCTGCTTCCTAATGCACCTGAAGAAAATAGTCAGCACTGCCCTTCTTTGGTGCAGGGGTTCAGAGTCTGTTTTCCCCCTCATTTTGTGCTCCTATGGTCTTTTTAGGCAGAGAAACTCTTTGGCATGTAGTTTTTTTCTCTTTAATATTGCCCTGTATCAGAATTGGGTTTTTTTCGTATCTTTATTCCAAATATTAAAAGACATGATCTTCCTGTTCATATCTTCCTAACCATCTCTCAAATGTTATCTTCCATCTGCTTCTCTTCCAATGGCTATTGACTCTGGTTTTCTGAGCACATCTTCCTCACGTTGCTATCATTTTTTCTTTTTTTTTTTTTAGATTGCCAACACGAGGGATTCTTTAAATTCAAATTGATATCTATTTAGTAAACATTTTTGCCTCCAGGAAGTGATTTGGAGCAGTGCAACTTTCTGAAAGAATCAGTGAAACAAAGCAACAGAAAAGTCGTAAGAACAGAGACTGGAACGTGGAGTGGGGGCTGAAGGTGGGTGGGAGTAGAAGAGGGAGGTGGAAAACAAGAAATGACTCATCACAGCTAATGACCAAGCAAGTGTTTTTCTAAGAATGCCAGTTTCTGTATTTGAGCATTCTCCCCCTTTCTCCTTGACCCACTCGGGGTATGCTGCCAAGGATAGAGCAATGACCTCGGGGTCTTTAGCATTTCAAAAAGGGGCTTTTCTTCCAGCTCAGGATCAGGTGGCCTTCCAGGCAGCTGGCAGGGTCCTGTTCCAAGGGGACTCTTCCATTCTATTCCGTTCTTGGCTCAGCCTTGTGGAGCGTGGCTCAGCACTGTGCCGTGGTCTCTGGGGGAAGCAAGGAAGGCTCAGAGCCCCACAGAGACCTTGTCACACTCCTTCCACTTGGCATCACTTCTGGCCTCTGAATACATTTCCCTTCAAAGGGTGCACTGCTTATCTCCCCAAGTTCCTCCATTTCCATGTATGGGGAGGCAAGCAGCGCATGGCTGGAAAGTCGTCACGGTACCGTGGGGGCCGTCGGCATAGCAGAGCTGGAGGCAAAAGTCACCCGTGAGTCACACTGTCCTGTGCACTTGGCAGTGTGGTGACATTTCACTGGAGTCACTATGCTGGAGATTTTAAATAAGTCTCCATGCAGTGGTATTCAACCCAGCTACCTTCATTTCAATTTGAAAGGAACTGAAATTAAAATGGCCTAGGCTCTATGGCAGGCCGAGATATGGCTGTGTTCCCACTGGATGTCAGGGTTTCTTTGGGACGTTGTGTGGGCAGGGCTTTGGCACCTTAGACTGTGAAGCTGCACAAAAAGAAAGAACATGTGGAGAACACATAACTCTCTCATACACCATCCAAATAACTGTGCAGGGAGAGCACTGGAGAGGCCCTGATTTTCCTGGGCTTCCATGTGCCTGCTTAGTAAGCGTATTCTTGCCTTGCTGGGCACAGGTTTTCCTTAAATGCACTCTCTGTGCTTCCCATCGCCAGCCACCAGTGACAATACCCAGCAGAAAGAGGTTGGGGTTCTGTTTCTCAACAATGTAAGGACATTGAATCATCTGGCCAGCCCTTGCCTGTGACAGGCATTATGTGACAGAGCAGGCGGCAAACAGTAGCCTGAGATAGCGGTTCAGGATCTGTGTGGTGGCACAGGAGTTGGGAAGGCTGAGGGAGAGGTGGAGACAGTCAGCTGTCTCCCATGGGACTGGGGCAGAGGGTGAGGAAGCAGGGTGTTCATCTGCTCCTCTCTGTATGTTGGAGAATCTGCAAAGGAGAAAAAAGAGACTCTTGGGAAGATCACTGCTGGGGCTTTAGTCATGTGTTTTGGGAGGACACCGGGTGTGCTGGGCTGTGAGTCATTTGGTAATGATGAGCTTCCCAGCCCACATTTTCTGTCAGGTTGCATTAGCCTGCGACGGTTATGACTACTAAATTGGGGGCCACTGGACAGCTGCAGGTGCGTGCTAACATCCTTAGCAGCCTGCCATTACCAGGAAGATGGCAGGTGCCCCAGTGCATCTTGTATGTGCATGATAAGGTGGAGGTGCGATTGAGCCTTGCTGAAAGGTGACCAAGTCCGAGAACCAGCTGCAGTTATCGGCCCGGGCCTGGCTCAAATGGAATCAGACTGAAGACTTGGAGCAAGCTATACAAATCACATAGAATAAAGAGCAGGATGTGATCTTGGTCAAGGTCCTCCTTCCCCCACTTCAGCAGATGATGCAACTCAAATTGGAGGGCTAGGATGTAGTATTACTTCCAAAACACAGCATCCCAGCCTTATCCCTTTGATCTGAGAGTGGTGTTGTGTAAGACACAGCTTGGCTTCAAAGTTAGCCTAGATTGGGCCTTGATTCTCATTTGCCCTCTGTGAGACCTGGAACACAATTCTTCATCAATTTGCACCTCATTTGAAGTCTTTCATAAAAGATCATTCAGACCTGACAGCTGCCTGCCCTTCCACTGTGTCTCTTGCCACTTGCTTGAGGCTGCCTTGAGCCCCAGCATACTATTTCAGTCCTGGAACATGCTTGTTTTTTTTCTAATCACCACCAGACTTGTGCCTGGAATACCTTTTGCCCCTCTGCAGTCTACCACAGTGAGCACCTTCTCATGCTTTCAGGCAAGTGTTAAGTGCTCTTTGTGAGAGGAAAACCTGCTCATGCGTTCTTAAGGCCGTCACTTCCTTGACTGGGAGGCGCTGGATGACAAGGACCACACATACCCCACCCTGCTTTATTTTTGCATCCTAGAATCTCTTGTAGTAAGTTTGAAAAATGCTTGCTGAAGGGTTACATCAGTGTGGTCATACTTTGAAATAGAGTGAAATCCATTTCATTCTAGCCTCCATTGTCGTCATAGAAACATCCTGCCATCCTTGTGTAATCATTTTGCTTCTGTAATCTCTTCCCAGTACACACCCAATGAGAGAGGTTCATTTTATTTTGAACATCTAAGACAAATTTCTGTGAACTTGATTTCACATCATTTTTCCATGGTCTTGACATTGCAAGGCCATTCCCACTAGGATTTCAGATAATGTGATTTAATATTTACTCTGGCATGGCAATATTGTCTGTTTAGATGTCATGACTCAATGTCAGTTTACATCATTGAATTTTTTTCAGGGAAGGGTGAATTAATAATGTTAAAGCAGGCCTTATGTATAGCCACTTACTGTAAAGCCACTTTAAAAGTGCTTTAAAAAGCCATTTTAAATGACTACACCATGCATCTTGAATGATTGGGCTGGAATCTCGAATGTTGGCTATTTCATGGTGTAAGGGTATAGAGCTATCCCTGTTCCCAATTAGAGGAAATTTTTCCTGACTGTATAAAAACATTAAATTCAGTTTAGTAAACATTTATGAAACATCTGTGTGCTGAGCATGGTGTTCTTAGCCAAATGTGACTTCCCTGCCTACCTTTCACATGCCGTTTAACCTCGGCAGCCATGGCACCCCTAACCAAGGTGACAGCTGCGCTCATGGTTCACCTGTCTCTGAAACCCTGGTGCAGAAACAGCGCTCTTTTTGCCGGTTCCCTTGCTTGCTCCATTTTCTCACCAAGTTATCCACTGGGGAAAGGGAGGGTATGGAGCAAAGGAGGGAAGGGGAGAGAAGAAAATATGGATAGTAAGATTCAAATGCCTAAAGACAACATCACTTACTGCAGCTTCATTTTCAATAAAATCTACAAAGGATTTTTAACCTTTAAACTGATGTGCTTTCTCTAGAGTTTATTGTTCCAAGTAGACCAAATAGAGAGTCAGTCAAGGAAAACCT